GAATGTTACAAACTTACAAACGAACAAAGTGTACAAACACCTATGCAGCCTGGTACACAATTAAAAACAGTATCACAAACTGATAACAATAGAAAACAAATGTCTGATATACTATACATGAACATGGTTAGTGTACTTAGATACATTGCAGACTGTACACAGCCAGATATAGCATTTGCAACAAATCAGTTAGCAAAATACCTTAATGACCCCAGTATGGAGTATTATCTGGCACTTAAACATTGTTACATGTACTTAAAAACTATGAACAATGTCTGGCTCCAACTCGGCAGCACAAATCAATCAATATTGAACAGCTATACAGATGCAGACAGTATGATGCAAGAAGGGTATCATGCAATATTAGGATATGCATTTTACTTGAGCAATTCATTAGTTTTGTGGTCAAGTAAAAGACAAACACTGGTGGCAAATTCAATGTATGAAGCTGAATTAATAGCTCTTACAAGAGGAACACAGGAAGCAATCGCACTTACTCATTTAGCTGAAGAGATTCTGTAGGTCTCTGATGCACCAATTAATATCTTTTGCAATAACGATGCTGTTATACAAACAGTTACATTGGACGAACTCAAATATTCGGAACAAACAAAGCATTTAGATCATAAGAAAGATTTTATTAAATGCTACATTGAGTTAGAGTACATAAATGCGAAATACATACAGACAAACAATCAACAAGCAGATATATTAACTAAAGTGCTACATGTACCACAAGTCAAACATCTTACCAGTTTACTCGGACTAGTAAGAGTTTGAAGGGGAGTATTATGAGATGATTAGTTCATCAACAGACAAACCACGAGACAATGACTTCATAATGTCTCAGTTAGAATACATACAATATAAGGACAAAAGACACTGAGCAATCAATCGTCACCTCACCCCTTGTCTATGCGTGCCCCCCTTAAGTTCTCCCTCTCAACAGCCTCATTGTGAGTCTTGTCAGTTGGCTACAAGTAAGATTCTGCCACTCAAATATATGCTTTCACTGTTCCACCCTCTCCTAGCAGACCCTCATCAGATTGGTCCCTGGATTCTAGGAGAAGGTATTAAGAAGAGTGTGTGTGGTTGTACTAGAGTTATGTGTGTTGTGCATCATTGTGAGTCTGGTTAGCTGTCTACAATTAAGGTTCTGCTACTCAAGAATATACTTTACTATACCACTTCAAGCAGATTATCTACAGACTTGCTCTTGCTCATAACCTTTCTGCCACTCATTGTGATCTTAAGCTAGTGTCTAGAAACAAGCTGTAGAAGCCCCTACTATCCTATTTCTCAAATTGTTCAAGGAGAATACTATCTTAGTACTATTACTAAGATCAAGAGCTACTATACAATTACTCCACCAGAACACTGTCAAGAAACAAGCTGTAAGGAACTACTGTCCTAGTCCTGAAATTGTGCAAGGAAGCACTATCTTGATACTACTACTAATATCTGGAACTGTAGCATAATTCTCTTTAGGAGCTGTAGGTTCTACACTGACAGATAGTGTCTACTTTTAGTACAACAGACATTACAATCAAGCTGTCAACTACAGTGTATTTGTTGTATGCTTATTGTACCTACTGTAATGTGTATCTCTCTATTGTTAAGGTGTTTGTCAAAACTGTCTATTCCTTACTATGCTATCTCTTGCTCTGTTACTGTCTAGTGTCTACTGTTATTGTCTACTGTCTACTAAGAGTATAAAGTCCCTTTCCCTTCCCTTCCTGTTTCCTAGGGTATAAAGCCCCTTTTCTAGTCATGGACCTAGTTAGGGTACTAAGCCCCTACTAGTGTCAATTCCAGTCCTAAACATATAGGGCCTCTGCTAGCATCACCTCCTGTTTCCTAGAGTATAAAGTCCCTTTTCCAGTTGTGGACCTAGTTAGGGTACCAAGCCCCTACTAGTGTCAATCCCAGTCCTGAATGTCTAGAGCCTCTACTAGCATCACCTCCAGTCCCAGACCTAGCCAGAGTATCAAGCCCCTGCTAGTGTCATTCCTAGTCACAGACCTAGTCAGAGATTATACTCTACTAGTGTTATCCAGTCCTTTCCTGTCCTGTCCTATCCTGTCCTGTCCTGTCCTGTCCTGTCTTGTCCTGTCCTGTCCCCCTCATGAATGGACCCCCTGTTGCCTCTACATACTCTGTTTTACCTACACACTACCTGAACTCTCATCACCCCTAGAATTGGCACATTAATTTTGTCAACCTGGCCCTTCTACTCCTCCTAGTACTAACACACACCTGAGGATAGCTGTTCACTTCTCAACCATGTGTTTCAATCATTTTTTTCCTCCCCCAAGTAACAAGTGCTAGCATAACTGAAGAGTTGTTGAGTTCTCTTTATCATACACCCTAACTTTCACACTCCTTTTCACTTACACTACCAAAGAGATTAGATCACCTCTGACACTCAGCCTACTGTTAGTCAAACAAGACCTTCTCAGTTGTCTTCTCCTTATCTGTAGTGACACTGTACTTACTAAACCTGTTAGGTATCATTTATGTGTTCCTTACAGTACTGTTTAATGTCTCAACCATGTGTTTTGGTCAATGTCTCAGTTGTCTTCTCCTTATCTACAGTAACACTGTACTCACTAGACCTGTTGAGTATCATTCACACGTTCCTAGTAGTACAGTTTCACATCTCAACCATGTGTACTCCTTGTCCCTGTCCTTGTCTCTGTACATTTTCATTAATGAGTTAAAGCCTTCCTAGGCTGGTTACTATATGTTCCTCTTCAACAGCTTGCTTTAACTTGTATCTGTCTTAGAGATACCATTTCCACCAACTCTGTCAAAAGTCCTTGTCCTCATACATTTTCATTGATGAGTCAAAGCCTTCCTAGGCTGGTAACTATGTGTTCCCTCTTACTATACTTCCCTTGCCTCTTCATTAATCCTTCCCTACCTTTTGATGAGTTGAAGCCTTCTTAAACTTGTGACTGTGTGTTCCTTATTGTCTGTCCTTACCCTTTTGTATTTCACCTCCCCCCCCCTTTACTATATCCTTTCCTTTGTCTCTCCATTAATCACTTCCCTACCCCCCCCCCTTTTATTTCTTCAGAGTAGGGAAGAGTGTAACCTCTGAGGTTACACACATGACTTTAGTTAAGTATATAAAGGGCTATTTGTAGACACTTAGAGATTATCTTCATACTTGCTCCTGTACTTAGGTCAACCTCTCCAATCCCAGGTCTTTGCCTGTTCTGTGTTCTTGAGTGAGGCTCCAGCCTTTACAACAGGCTGTGGAAAGCTCAAGTCTACATACAGCTAGCAATGACATGGAATAAATTATATATTAATATTTTTTCACTGCCTACAGTCTCTAGAAAATAAGTATACAGGTCTATGTAATCATGGGTGAACTATTTATAAAAATAGAGCTGGTAATTATGTTGTGATGCATCTGTAGATGTGTAACCCTTCTTTTTAATATCTGTGGAATAGTGCTGCCTACAAATCAGTACCATAATAAACAAAATATTAAAAATGAGGATAGAAATAATTAGTTTATACACTGTGTTATTCTTCAACCTGCTTTGGAAAATTCACAGAAGTTGTATAGATTATCTGTCTTCTTCTCTTTGCTTTTAGTACTTAGCACCAATCCCTTACTCTGTAGTGCAGAAGAATGTATTGAAGATTGAGAGGCATGTGTCAGGTGATGAAATTTGCAATGCACAGAGAGATTGGCAGGAATATAGCATGTGAAAGAGTAGAAGCAAGGGGAGCATTGTGGTTTGGACCAGGAGGCAGGAGTGCAGGTATAGATAAAATACTGAAAGCAAAACCTGGATACTATACCACCCCTGTGCTTTGGTAAGCTGACATTACGTTCAAGGCAAGAAATAATAATATTTACTTTGTACACCCTTGCAATCCAGAGCACAGCACACGTAGTCATGTAGAATACTTAGTAAAGAAAAACCTCCATTCCTGGCTACCCACCTATTAGGTTCTAACATAAGTACAATGATATACCAACCTCCGTCTACTCTCTAATGTTAATACCAGGCCTCCTTCAACTTCTTCCCCCTAACAATCGGCCTCGTCACCAAAATGGCCACACTCAACCCCGCGATCGTCAACACTAATTGAAGTTTATTGAACTCCTCGCTCAATACATCAAAAGTATGACTCGGTGCAACGCGCGAAAGGAAAAGGTCAGGTCCGCCATGCGCAAGGACGAGAGAGGTGGATTCGAGGAGAGAGGGTGAGGTGCTTATTTTTTTAGTGCTGAGGATCTATAGAACGTTAGTGAAAGAGCACCACCTAAGATCAAATTTTAAACTAAAAGTTGAGAAGATCAAGGACGTACATGATAATTATGTGAAATAACTCGTCTCGAGTCATCCGGAATAATTGGATCATACTGGACAAGCCACTCCTCCTGGTCTTGTGCTGTCACTTTTCGCTTCGGCCTCCGCGGATCGAATATCCTACGAGGGAAGGTTTGTATTTGACCTTTATTGTTCGCAACTAAATCATGATACATCATTCAGAAGCGCCTGAGTGGAAAGTTGGTAACGAAGGACGAACCGACAAGATCTTTAGTTGCGATTCCGAATTTCGTTGACGTTGTCGTGAGTGCGGTAACACCATAGGGGAAGATGAACGTCTGTTCGTAATACATGCCCTCCGCGGTTCTATTAGAATATATAGACGTTTCCGAGCTATTAGGAGAAAAGTTAGCAATAACACCCCGGATACTTTCATAGATACCCGGAAACGAGCGTACCTCTTCGTTTTGTCGTTCACACCCTTTCCTTCATAGAATTCCACAGAAACGACTCGGTATCCTTTAGACTGGGCAGAAGATACGATCTCTTCATCATAATAAATATATAACAACCAATTTTCCGTAAACGCAACTTTCACGTCGCACGCGCCATGCGCAGAAGGGATAGTCGAACGATACAAGATCGAGCCCTTCGCACCATCAACCAGATAAACACCGCAAGTCGGAGGAACACCGTCTCCTCCCTGAGAACGTGTCACATAACCAACCAAGTGGGGAATGAGGTATTTATAGAGTGTACTTCGGTCACTGAGCACCTTACCAAATGATGCTATGGGCTCTGCAGGTGGGCGTCGGAAGGTAGCGACAACCGTTTCACCGGGCGAGAAAAGCGTTGTCCATATTGAATAGGCGGTGAACTTGCCAGTGAAGGACGGCTCCGAGCTGACTTGGTGACCGAGGACACGGCCAGGTGCGAGTAACGGGAAGTATAGCTTCGGAGCAATTGTTTGGAAAGCCTTGCGTGTCTCGTCATTATCAGGGAAGAGGTACACCTGTAATGTAATGGTAAGATAAATGACAAGAAACGCTGAGAGCCGTGAGTCGCGTACCTGCAAGAACTTGTCTAGTAATACGACAATTTTATCATCTCCGCGTAGCATGAACACGTCAATCGATTCTCCAGAGATGATGTCTACACCTTGTAGTATATCTTCGGAAGATGATTTGCCTTCAGCATCTTCACCAGTGAGAGCGTCAATATGAAAGGCAACGGTATCAACAAGCTCCTGTATGAGTTCATTAGTGATGCTTGCACTGTTCCTGATATTCGATTAGACTTACATTGTCTGCTATTCGTTGGGTAATCAATACCACCCTCGGCGAGTCGCCATCATTAACGGTACGCGTGGCGAACAACCTCAAAGGAACATGGTGTCCACCGACTTTCGCTGCCCATCCAAGTCCGAGCAACCTACTCCACACGATCGCACCACTGGCTGAGTCGATGCCGTATACAACACCACGACGTGTCGCAGCCACGATAAGTTTGCGGAAACCGAATTCATCACGTTCCAGCTCAGTACTGTTCGACGAGACCTTTGCCGAGGTCGTTGCCGTGGTGTAAGAGCCAGTTGCAAATCGCCGAACGAAGGCCAATAAATAACTCGGGAAATCCTAGTCCATGGTAAATCAATATCAGTTGTACCCAGCTTTCGGAAGATGTAGAATTTCACTAACCTTCGCATCCTGGACTTGGCGGGTGACACGCCCGACAAAACTCTCCTCACCGTCGCCAACATGTGTCGCAATCGTCTTCCTCTCTGGTAACTCGATAAATTCTGCGAGTTCGACTTCCGACAGTGCTTCCTCACGGGTCCATTGCGCCCGGTCATGCTGCCACAGCTGTACCGCACCAGTGCTTGTGACTAGGACGAAGCGACCGATGATCATATTATCAGAAGGCTGAGCTGCATCCATGGCAGCCTAAAGAACAATGAGTAAACATGTATGGCTGGAAAAGAGGGCAAGACGAACATGTGCGATAATACCATGAGAATTCGAATCGAATGGGAGTGTGTAACCCCTCACCATTCCCTTTCCGCTCGCAGCATGAGGTGCGAAGACATGCGCTGAAGCGGTCTTACCATAAAGAATAAATATCAGTTAGTTACCAAACGAAGGGTACAAGGCATACCCTCAACACATGCGACCAGAATACCCGTCCGATATAGACTTTGTTATCTTTATCAAGGCCTCCGGAGTATATTGATTCAGTATAGCGATCCGAGGATGACTACAACACAACGCTTCATCAACAGAGGCCTTCATAAGTAACGAAACATTCCCCACAGATTCATCGAACTCATAGACTAAAGAAATGCCTTGACTATTCCTATCAAGCTTGAGCGCCATTCCTGTACCATCCGTCTCAAGCGCGACAAAATGTCCGTGTTCATTCAAGCCTATGTTTAAGATAGACTTAAAGGTAGCCCCCTTGAGAGCTTTTGGTTGACCCTTGAGTGCTGGTGCAAGAGAAGCAAAGCGAATTTGGCTTTGTCCGTCTTCAAGCCATACGATGTACGGATTATCGTCAGTATCATCGGACAATACGAGGAAGTCGGTGAGCCCATTTCGTATATTTGAAGGAATGTGGACTGTTGCGAGTTCTTCTCCGGTATCCGCGGAAAGAGCAGTGACGTGTAGAGAATACGATGCCGTGGATTTGGCAAGTCCCACGACAAAAGCTGTTGATGACGTACGTGCTATGCGAGAATAGACAACAGCCGACCTACGAAGGCGTTTATCACGTCAATATTGAAGTTTGGGAAAGCTTCCAGGCAATGACTGACGCTCGGTCCCCTGATGCCCATTCCCACTTCACACGCCCGGTGGCAGCATCAATGCGACGAACAGTATAACCATTCGTAAGAGCAAATACATCGGAGCTAGAATCTGGTTTTGTTGCATTCGCATCCGCAAAGACAAGATGAACACCGACATCCACGGGTTCGAAAAGATGCCCGGCTTCAGGCGCGTGAAGACGTCGTTCAGCCAGTAGGTCGCCCGTAGTCGTATCAAATGCACGGAATGTCGAACCTCCAGGACCAGAAAGTGATACGACGACTGAAAGGCCGTCAATTTCTCCAGAGATAAAAGAAAGTCACATAATAAACGCACAATTTCCAAACGCTCGGAAGTTGACAATCGGGTCCCCATGGTCAAACCCATACCTCCAAGCTATACAAAACTTTCTCAGTTACATTCTGCTGAGACACTTCAGAAACATACTGATGTTTCCTGCTACCGCATCCAACGCTGCCAGTACATTCGAACTTGTTGCACTCAATACCACACTCTTCGTACTTCGCCTCCCGGTGCCTGCATTAAATCGGTGGAAAGTGGGCGCGAGACTTTGGGAGTGAGTAAACGGAACGCCGATAAACGGTTTGTGCCAATCGACAACGCCAGCTTCGGAGGCATGCAAAGCATAGACAGCAGACAATAGCCAGAATATGACGAATAGTAAGCCGTGCACGAGCATGTTTTGAGCCGAATCTGCGGGCTGATCCTACAGCAGGTCTAGGACACAACGTTCAAAACCACTTTCGAGTACACAGGTGACCAAAATCAAGTCCTTACGAACGCTCCCAACCTCCTCAATCTAGTTAGCGCTCCTACCCTGATTAATAGACGATACAGGACAAGTGCAAGTTGTCGAACACAGCTGTCAGGCACTGAGGCAACGCGTCAAAAGACGCGTCTGCAATAGTTTCCATTATAGTATATTAGTCTCACGCTATATTTACTTTCAATCTTAAATCTTAAAATTCAAACGGATCTATCCATCCAACTTTGAATTACCTGTCAGTCTACCTACCTACCACCCGAGTGTCCGCCACTCTTGGGGATAAAAGCATCCGTTACTAGGATATCTGAATCTCTACTCCTACTGGCCAGGCATTGCGAGCCCGCAAGGTTGGGCTTGTCTTGTTCCTTATGAGGAGGAAATTGACCTACGTAAAAGAACAATCAGCACTCTAGAGGTTGACGTTCAACTCTGATGAATGGCGACTAGTATCATAATTCAGTCCTATTCACGCTATGATGCCCTTGTCTATGAGCGTTTAGACTGCCTGCAAATGAAGGAGAGACAGCCGATATAACGCCTCTGTCGTCACTGCACCTCTTCCCCGCTCCCCGCCCTCACTCTCCCGTCTGCCACGGATTGATAGTGCTTCATCTCCTCAAACCATCCATGTCTCTGTCCCTAGCTTTGACTTTGCTCAGGAAGCTGCTTCACGTTTGTCGACAATGGGCAGGCTGTGCATTGCCTCTTCTGCTTAGATTGTTCTCTGTGATTGGACGATACCTTGATCCGCGTCGATTTAGTCGTGATACAGGTTCCACGAAGAAGGACGGTGCGCCCTTCGAAATCGACGAAGGTCAAATATCTCACTGTAATGGCGACAAGGCCAGAAGAATTCAACTTTTCGTATCAGACAATGCTGCAGTATATGCATACTCTTCCGTTCCTTCCATGCCTGCTACACCACCCGCCGCACGAGTGCATCATACCAGCAGGTCTATGGACACATCCATACCATTTCCTGGGTCATCAACTAATGCTCCTGATGATTCTACTGGACCATTATCGGGAGTTGATAGAGAGACTTACTACGACTTGCCGTTGGAAGTGGTTATAGCAAACTCGTTCAGAGAAAGTTCTGTTATGGAAGGCGTTTTGCCTGCAGAACCTGTTTCAGTGCGAATATCAATTTCAAAGCCATTGGAGCCCATTGCTCCGTCCGCAAGCCCACGGTACAATCGGAATACAGCAATGTTCGTTGTTTGTTGTTATGTCATTTCAGCGTTGCTCACTTCATATCAGAAAATATAATGGAGGACCTTGGGTGTTCAAACCTCTCAAAACTTATGATGTATATAAGTTAGTGCGGGCTATTCCTTCGGGAATGAACAACTTACTGTATTTGTCATAGGAACCGAGACGTTTGTCAATGGAAATATTACATTCATCCGGATGGCCAGCCATACTATCTATTGGAGAAGTGTGGTGGACAAAAGCTTTCGTATTTGACGGAAGCAGATCTACAGGACGATTCTATTATAGAGGAGATTGAGGCCTTCATGCAGGAAGTCGAGAGCCATGCCGCAAATTTTGATTGGAGTCGAGGCATTCCAGAAAACGTTGAGGTTGTCCTTAAGATTGACGATGACAGATGGAGCTACTACATGGTTGACTTGGATCAACGCTGTGTCTTTTGGCTAGATGATTACGATATGAGTACTGCATTGGGCGAACGTTGTGGCGTAGAATCATTGGATCATTTTCGTAGGTCTATATTTTCGTCTTCGAAGAACGAATTTTATCTAGCTGTCATCTACGATCAGGAAGTCAGCTCGATTTCGAGTTTTGGCAGCACATCGAATATTTCCCTGACCACCGCAAGATTTGTCCTGATATTTTCAATGAAGTAACGGGAATACTCAATTATTGGAGGATTGGTGTGTTCCGGTGTTCTCAAATTCCGTCTTGCTAAGCTAACAATAGGAGCATTCTAGAGGTCATGACTTCTGGCGATTCTACTGCCCCATACGATTCCGACGAACTTGACGCGCTTGTACTATCAGTCAATCATCTTCGTTGTACGTATTTAATCATAGTTGTGTCGATGTTGACTGTTGAGTTGCATCCTCGCTTTAGCCGTCTACGACTCTGGTGGTTGTGCCTATGCTATTGCGGGTGTCGGTGAGAAATTTTTTCTTTTACAACAATTATTATCACTGATTCTGGCAACAGCTCGCATTATGGGTCTCACTTGTCCGTAATATTGTCAGAGTGTAATTGAAACAGCGACAAATTGTTCCTTAGGTAATGTGCAGCAGCTGAACTTCTACGGCTTCAACGGAGCTCGCATTCCGATTGAACGTGATGGACTTATAAAATTTCTGTCTCTGCTTCTCTTCCATGCTCCAGAGGCCTATTTATCCGGTAAATTAATTGTTCTGACCTACTTACGAACTCTTATTCAATTCAATTAGGTCTCGAAGAAATATGGGTAGATGGTGCAATAAGGGACTATAGATGGAGAAAGTATCAGGTAAGAGGCAAAATTCCCTGTAGTAGGTATTGACGGCTCAATTTGATCTTATATCCCTTGTCTATTCTTTCATTGATACTTTGGGCCACCCGTTGTTGCAGATCAAGCTTGAGAATGACCGGCAAAAGTTGACCGTCACGGTCGGTTCAAGGCTTTTTACCTTCATCTGTTTGGGACTTAAATTATGCTCAGTCAACTGTATTGCTAGCTGTAAACGTCTCACTCCTCAGCTCACCGATTTTCGTGTCAAAAGGCGATAGTACGGGCCTGTGGAAATCACCAGCTGCATACGCAAGTCAAATTTCGATAGTTGCAAGTGTTTGCAGCATTTTCCTCAGTGTTCTCCTTGCATGGCACATGCACAAATACAAAGCATCTGAAAATGTGCGTATCTGTCTAACCCACACACTACTTAATCTAACTATTGCGGATCTGCATTTTTCGCAGGCAAGTCATTTTTTCAGGGGGTTCGAGCAGGCCAGGCTGGAGAGAATCGCGATACAACTCAGTTTACCCTTTGCGTTGCTCATATGGGCGTAAGTGTTTGCTCTATTCAATTGTTTCTACTAAGCATTGTCCCCTTTTAGTATGATTGCTTTTTTGGCTTCGATCATTTTGTCTTGCTTCATTGTAGTTGATGGGACGCCAAGTCTGTCTGAACAAATGGTGTATAGTGTAATATGGATCTGTACTCTTTTCCTCCTCTTTTGGATCTGGAATAACCGTGATAACTGGGGGATTAAGAGTGCACAAGATTATGAGACGGGCGCTATGATTTGGGCCAGTACGCATTCACATTTTGTTATGATTTTGTCTTCTCTGGTTGACCTGTCTATGCCGATAGATTCAACAGCTATTAATACGTAGTTTTTTTTTGTTTACCAAGGGTTACACTTTTCCCAAACAACAATCATACACAGACTTATTGGGTGGATTGTAAAATATGGTTTAATTGATATTGGACCCCAGTATATGAACATATTTGCAAAATATTCGCACCACTATGTAGCCTACACATTATCGATACTGCATACAACCTAGGAGGTCGTAACAGAATGAATCAAGATATAAAGAATAAAGAATTCATAAGCTGCAATGAACGAAGCATGTAGCATGTTAAACAAAGGAAATTCTATCTCTATTGAATCGAAATGTGTCGGAATATCTGAATGACAGACACGAATCATTTCTCCCGAAGACTAAGTGCCTCAGCCAAACTAAGCTCAAGCGCCAACTTCAAATCCGCATCCATCTCTTCATCCGCACCTCCTTTCGTGGGCATGGAAGGCCCTGCACTAACCGTACCACCGGACTCCGCCTCACGGTGCATACGCAGCGTCTCAGAAAGCAACGAAGGCCCAGACGACGTAGCAGGACCTGAAACGCTTCTTCTAGCTGGGATACTGGCCACGGGGACAGTAGTCACGGGAGATGGTAACGCTGCTGAAGAGGAACCAGCAACTTTAAGTGGGGAGCTCCAAGATCCTGAAGCGGAAGCTGGAGATGCACGAGGAAGAGAGGACGAGCTTGAAGCACTAGACCCCATTATTGGAAAATGTTCTGCATCGTCCAGTGAAGGTGGTACGAGTCTTCGAGGAGGTATGCCGAGACCGAGAGGGCTTGAGCCAATACCTCCTTCACTTGATGATTGACGTGGCAGTGACGGAGATGCTCTTACGCTCGTAGGTGAAGCCGATGGTGAAGATGAAGGTCCCAATGGCGGAGAAACATCCGACGTAGAGTGACCTTCGGAGCGCGAGCTCGACCGAGACGCCAAAGGTGCCGAAGAGGCATCCTCGAAATCGGCATCGAACACACTTTCTTCGGCTTGCGTCTGGTGCGCTGCTTCGTCACGGCTAACCATAAGGACATACTGTAGAGCCTCGTGTTCATCGAGACCTAGACCTACAAGGGCTGCATGGTGTGCACGACGACGCTCATGAGTGCGCCTTTCGGAAGCTTGCACGTCTTCGACGGCCTTTCGCGACTCTGATATATCCTGAGCCAGCTCAATTCTCTCTAGATAAAATATTTTAAGAATTTTATAGCGGACCAATCAACAGAATCATTACTTACTATGCCACTTTGCATTACGGACCTTTCCGGTTCCTCTCTTCGACGTAGCCAGCGGCTTATGCGGACGCACAGGCTTTGCTTCCCACGCCAAAATCCGTTCACCGACGGCAACAAGTAACAGATCTTTCTCCAGTATAATTTGTTTTACCGCTGTTGCGGTCGTGCTTGGCCGCGGAATAGGACTCGGAAACTCGCGAAGCAGGTTCAGCGTAAGGATATTGTATACCTTGGTCGCACCACGCGTGGTGCCAATTGCGACAACATAAGGATTACAAGCAATAGCCGAGATGCCAGCACCGTCTGAGCTTGCATCGAGCCGGCGAAACGATGAGACTTCTTGTCCTGCTTCAGGAGTTGGCGACCAATCAAAGAGGGACAGACGACCAAGAGAATCTCCCGCAAAGATGACAGTTTTCCCGCCCTCTGTAATAGATGCAAAGAAGGGTTTAATCGTCTGGATAGGACCGAGGGGACCGTCGCCGAAACGTATTACTTCATGTTGACCAGTAGCAAGGTTAACATTAACACGATAGAAGTGCGTATCACCTTGAAAATGAATGCCGAAAGACAGCTCCTCCGGAGCCGTGGAATTGTCTAGAAAGACGTGTGAAGCTTCCGTCTTCTCCTTCAAGGTGGGAATTCGAATGCTGGTGGGTACAACTTCTATCTGCGAGCCTTCGTCCTTGATAGACAAGCCGGTCCAGATAACTGTTGCACCGCTTTTCTTCGTAGCCAAAACGATTCCACGTTCAAGATTGGACAGGACATGGACGCATGCATCCGGGACAAGGCTTTGCTGATCCGTCAGTAAATAAATGCAACGTATATGCCTCCTGACATCCCAAACGCGCACTTCCCCGTCGGATCCGGCCGAGACAACAGCAGTGCTACCCCAGGCCATATCTAAAGCCAAATCTACTACTGGCCCTCTGTGTTCCTCGGGTAAGAAGCAGCGTTCAATTCTGGACGAAACGCGAGCCGACTCCATAACACGCATCACAGTGGCAAGTGCAACTACGCCATCGGCAAGGCCAAATGCAACTCGGACTGTCCAGCCTTCGCTCGTTACAGCGTACGAGGTCACGTTCGGTGTGAATTCAGCATTTGGATTTCCATTGCCAAGGCCAAAGCCGTCCCACGAAGTAATGTAACCTTTGAGCACTTTCCCGGAAAGTGGGAAGGAACGTGCAACGATACCGTATTGCAACGAGACTGAGAGTAGAGATGGTCCATAAGAACGATCGGACAAGAGGTATATAGCCATAACGGGAGAATAATGCGGCGTATGAGAGACCGTGCCGTTCCGGCAGCGCTCCCAGCGACTAATGACGTATATTAGCAATCCAATCCGTACCAGAGTTGAAACTCGAAGAAACATACCGAATCAGGTTGCATCGCAGGACAAATTCTCTTTTCCACGTGTCTTCACAGCGGCGTAGAAGGATACTTTGCGGCGAATTGGGGGTTTCCTCCCCCTCGCCTAAAAACTGGCATGCAAATGCAGTGTGCCAGGTGTTATCGTCGTCTATGTGTTCATGCAAGATCTTGCTTGCCCGTCCCAAGGCAAAAAGTGATGCTGGATCAAGGAATGCTGTGATATGCGTAAGCGACTCCGCTGGTATGGCGAGAATGTGCGGAGCGCCTTGCTCGCCACTGGCGGCATTGACGGAACGAGAGTGGGGATGGCCATGTTGACTAGATTTTGTGCGCGCAGAGAACTTGTGTAGCTGTAACTCGTCTTGTTCAGGAAGATGACCGCTGGTAGGGTTTATTTGCATAAAAATCACCGAGGATACAATACACGGGGTGTCGCAGATGCTGCTGCGACTTGTATGATAGTGGTTGGAAGCAAAGATGCAAAGGATGCTGGAACGGTAGACTCATACCATTCGGAAGCGTCGATCTTCCCGATATGGACAGTCCGCGAATAGGAAGGACTGCTCTATTATGTAATCCAGGAGGCTAGGTGGTACGCTTCACGGTAACATTATTCCGCAACCCTTCTCCTCGACCCTCCTCTCCTGCCCGTCTGGCGGCATATTACTGCTACATTATCTACTTTAAGAGTGGAAATATCATTTGTTTGCCGTGGTGAACAAGCTTAATGTCGCGAAGGAGCTATAACAGCCTTGCAAGTAGGAGACGAATATCACGATTTGTCGCCGACGACGATGTCTTTACGTGCGTAGTTGTATGTCCTGTTCTGTGCACATGTGGCTGATATATGGTTAAGTTATGCTCTCCGAGTATCGTGAGTCGTCTATATCAGGTTAACTTGGGAGAACATACTTAGTCAATGATTTTAAGTTTCCTAAGCTATCTCATGCAGCCTAAGGCTGTCGATACGAACGCAACGCCAGATACAGAAACACGGGAAAGAGAACATACGACCACGCGTATATCAGATGCTATCTCTAATTCCATCTTTTCTATCGGTGATCTCTTCAAGGACGTCACCCGGGATGGCCACAAGAGCGTCAAGTTCCCCGAGAAGTTACTGAAGGTCCTGGAGACCAGGCTAGCAAGCATTGCAATGGGAAAAGATTCTGCGTAAGTCAGCGTTGACTTTTCTACGTGGTCGCAGCTTAATATACTACTAGCTATTCTGACCAACTCATTCGACGCACATTCGCCGCATTTTATGGCACATCCACTACAGATCAGTTCCGACGGCAGATGAAAGAGAACCGCAAGATTGAAGAACTCATCCTCATGTTTGCTACAACTGCAACAGGGGTGCTCAAACGCGACCTCTCGCTAGCGGGTGATACGTGGAAGCTCGAGCTAAATAAACATATTGGCATGTTCGTGCGAATGCTTCGCGAATGTCTCCGGACTGTCGGCCACGTATCTCAAGAACTTACCGCACGCCTTGACATGTATGCTGCGAAGTTGGCACCGTCTCCCACACCAACAGACTCTGGTTACGACACTGCATCAACAACGAGCAGGCGGAACGAATCAGTCTCTTCAACCCCGAATCTCGGGCTGAGCATGAACGTCATGGACATGGACATGGTGAAATCCGTTGCCAGCCTATTTGGCTCCTCATTACAGGATGTGCAAAGGGAGATCTACCAAATGAAGCACTTCTGCACGGAGAAAGCAGCCATGCTCGATCTTAAGGTGTGATCACATCTTTTCTTGAAGATCATCTCTGTTTACGCTATATATAGACTTGCCTGAAAAACCTCAATGCTGGAGAGGCATTCCCCGGTCGACGTGAAGACTTTGAAACCGATGAAGCATGGAATCACTGGCGAACGACTGAGCTTTCACAATTGCAGCAACTCATGGTCATTATGGTTCAATTCAACCCAGAACTCGCAAAGTCCGCACCATCTGAAGCACTGCCTTCCATGACACCGACAGGCGCACGCCCAGGCTCTGTCTATTCCGCATCCCCGGCTGGCCCGTCGTCGCGACATGGATCCATCAGCAGTCGACGCTCTGTCGCGCTCGTTGGCAGCGGCGCCGGTTCACTTGACCTCGTTGCCGAGCAGATTGATGGTGACGACGAGATAGAAGCTGGCGGTAATTTCACTTACATTCCACCAAATCCGAAACGCTACTACAGACGCCTGCTCGAGCTGTGTATCGAATCCGATCTCGACGCAATGGCCAACTTGCCGGAAGATCAAGAGGTCTCGCTTGGTATCTTATCACCAAAGCATATCGATTTGATCAATGAATGCGCTCTGAGATGGCGAATAGGCCAATCTTATCGTGTTGCATGCTTCATGGACGTCATCAAGGCCAAGTATGAGCGTGGGGAGGTGCCACTGGAGTGCATCCCAGAAGGGTTGCAGATGATCTTAAAGGCGATGCATGACATTGACATAGGGCTATGGCCGAAGGCAGATGTAAGTAATCACTTAGTTCATCCGTAACATAACCTAATATGTTCCTTAGTTGGATTATCTTGCCGAAGTGGCTGAAGGCCTTTTCAACATCTTCATTGCCGCCATTTATCACACACTGGATGTGCTCCTGGGGCTCAAACCCTCCGAAATTGCCCCATACCTCAACATACTCGATACATTACAGGAATCTGGGCTTCTCGCTCTATCTAACGTTGATGTAGCTGCGCAAGCAGAGCCATTACGCGAAAAGGTCCGAGAAGTTGCAGAGCAAGCATACCTTGAGAAATCGAAGGAACTTTTCTCTGCGCCCGGAGTGAATCGTGCTCTGCCGTTGCTGCTCACTACAGACACTCTCGAGAAAAATGCCAAACTGCTTGACAAGAGATTCCCGGAGCCGCTTATCGGACATATCGACATCGTCGGACTTGTGACAGAGGTACAAGTACCGATGTTCCTCGGTGATCTCGAAGCGAACCGCAAACGACTGCTCGAGTCTTCGACTAACGGTCCGACTCCTGATGTACCAATCGAGGATATCTTCACTCTGTTCCGAAGGGCGAAGATGATCCTAGAGATGCATCAAGCATTCTGCCCGAAGTATGAGTTGTCGTTATATGCGCGTCGATATATTCACTGAAATACTCTTGACAGCGCACAATTGAGATTCGATCTTGTGTCATTCTTCGAACCCTATGTGCAACAATGGCTTCTCACCGTTGATAATAAGACCTTACAATGGGTACAAGGCGTGAGTGTAGGAAATGCTTTATTTAGTTCTGGTCTGACTGATGTTTGCATAGGCAATTGCGGCCGACAAGGTACCTGCCTCAATCATGGAGCTTTATCCAGTCACTAACCTTTTGGCTAGTTCGAAGCGTCCGACGCCGGCGGACATAGTTCATCTATTGTCGACCTCTTTGACTCCATTCGCAGCCCAATTGACTTCCTGAAGGACCTAGAGTGGATCGACGAGTACCAAGAAGCTCGATTCTTCACAACATTGTCCAAGGTATCTCCATCGTGTTCCAGCTTATGCATATACTCAAAGGACTATTACAGACCATCAGCAAAGCCATCGAACAATACTGCAGAAACGTCGAAGAGCTGTTCATGACCGAGATGTTCCCGCGTCCAAGCGAACACCTCCAACCGCAAAAGCAATCGGCCTGGCTCGAGCGTGCGAGACAACTAGCTCAACTAACGGGAGAGAAGAAAGTCATTCCATTCAACTTCCAACCAACGTCTTGCGTCAAGCTTAATAATATAGACGCTGCACGTCGCCTCTTGGACGGCATTTACTCACATATTGATGCTGACCGTATCACCGAGACGTTGCAGCGTCTTCCGCCGCCGGTACCGGACAAGGAAGAGCGACCTCGTTTCCTGTTCACTATAAAAATCGTAATTGCTGAGGGCTTGATACCACTTGATAGCAGTCCGTCGTCGAAGCTAGATACGTTCGTGACGCTCAGCGATGAGAACGGGAACAGACTGGCGAAGACGCGGACGATTTACGAGACACTGAATCCTCGATGTAAGTACGCATATATCCTATATCGAAGCGAGGCTAACGCGCTTCACAGGGGATGAAACTTTCGACATATCCGTTGAGAAGCCGTTATGGCTTATGATTAGCGTCCGTGATCGCGCACTCATTGGGAAACACGACACCGTCGGTCGCGCGTACCTCTGCTTGGATCCTCGACGCTTCGGTGACTTCCTCGCCCACGATCTATGGCATGATCTCGACTCAGCTGGACGAATCCTCCTTCGTATCAGCATGGAAGGCGAGAAAGATGATATCCAATTCTACTTTGGCCGAGCTTTCCGTTCGCTCAAGCGTTGCGAGGGCGACATGGTCCGGATTTTCATCGACAAGGTATGATCGGTTTGGTTCTTGGCCTATATTTTGCTCTGTCTCAGACTTGGTGTTTTTCAGATGTCACCCTTCATCTCGCAGTCGCTGTCACGAGCCGTGCTAAAGAGTCTCGTCAAGACCGGGACTGGCCTAGACTACACCAAAGCACTCGAAAATGTATCTGCGCTCTACCGAAGCGCACTAGGTCCAAGTGCAAGCGAAGTGCAGATTCCTCTCCCACAATCCGAGAAACCAAGAATCAAGCCAGAACAATTAACGGACTACGAAATCGAGCAGGCCATTACGCCACTCTTTGACTATCTTGAGGGGAACCTGCAGACCCTAAACACGTACCTATCTGAGGAGACGAAAGAGATGGTGATGACACGTCTGTGGAAGGAGATACTGGCAGTGATTGAGCGCTTGCTCGTACCACCATTGTCGGACGTACCAAGCGATATGAAGCCACTCTCAGACAAGGAGGTCGATATTGTTTTCAAATGGCTCAAGTTCCTGAGGGACTTCTTCTATATCGGTGGGGAAGGCATACCACTAGAAACGCTACAGAACCAGAAATACCGTGATGTTGTCTCAATCCGGCTTTACTACGACTGGAGCACGTAAGTTCCATTTAGTCTTATTGTTTCAAGCATTCGGGCTTACTCACGCTACACTTCCTTAGCGACGCGCTGATGGAGGAATGTGTTCGGATGCAACAACAACAAATGCAGAGGGCGCCGACGGTGAAGAAGCGCGCTAAAACGGTGTATTCTCAGCGGAACCTTGGTACAATCAAGGATAGGAAACGGGAAAAGCGTGAGCAGGGGGAGGTGACGAATGGCGAGATCATTATGCGGATCTTGCGTATGCGGTAAGTGCCCATCACAAACTTAGATGATTGCAATAATATCTTATGCTCTATGAAGGCCGGGAACAAGCGAGTTTATCGGGCAGCAGATGCAGATCATGGCAAGAATGCAGGCTGAGCAGGAGAAGCGGGTGCAGGAGCGGAATCGAAGGGACCTAGGAAGGCCGAGGCAACTGCAGCATCAGCAACTCGATATCCCACCCGTTCCTGCTCTGCCCTCGTAATGGTCCGACCTCTTGAGCCTTTTCTTTTCTTTTTACCATCCGTTTTGTATTTGCTTCCGACCGAACATTTGGATGATGATACCTTATTTTGAGATCCGTTACCCTCCCATGTCGATACTTACCTGTAATTTGACTTGATACTCTCACGCTATGTAGTCCGGTTGTAAGTTCCTCTCTCCCTGTATGGCATGATTTCGCGATACTTTTCCTTACAAGAAAAAAAAGGAACAACAACGGGATGAAAATACAATAAGGATCGGTGCGTGACTTGCGTGACTCGGCCGCGTGGTTGCATGAGTGTTGCAAGTGCAAGCCTTTTGTTCTCGAGCCACGGCCCAGCGGACGCGAAAGTACAACGTGTTGGGACAATGCTGGGGCCAGGATGGTCAGAAAAGTGGCCCCTACTTAACCTCAACATGCGCGTTTTCGCCTCCATACTCTCTCCATTCTTCCCCGCCGCCTCTCTACCTACCTTCCGCCTCTCCTTCAACCTTTTCTCTCCCCCTTACTTCGTGTTTTGGTGCAGGTCCACCTTAGATCTTGGTCTTCAGCCATACTTGCCTACTTGAAGCTTTTTACACGTGTACAATTGGATTGTGTTGTTGATTTCAAGTGATTAAGAGATGTTGCCTCCGCGTGCCTGTAAGCAAAATAGTTTTATATTTTATCTGTATCAAATTGCTGATTGGACTGGATTACAATCATCTATACAGACATCTTCATCGGACTCAATGTCATCCGCGTATTGAGTATCATCGGGCTCATCCTGGTGTTCTCGAGTAGTATCCTTGTAATGGTCGACGACATCAAAGCCGTTAACCGGTTTGTGTCTGCCGCACAAACCACAGGATCCAACTCAACTGTGACGGATAGTATGTTGGACTGCGATTACATCGAGTGCGTATCTCGTATCTCTTTATCATTCTCCCATCATAGTCTAGTCTCCTCTATTCTTATTAAGGAGATAGACAAGAATAGAAAAGGAACCGTCACTAACTCACCTATTCCACGTTTTAGGGGAAGCACGGTGCCCAACCAGCCTGCAGGTGTATTCTGGGCAGTCGTCAATCGCCTCATGATTATCTTCCAAGTCGTCATCCTCTTCCTCTCCGAAATCGGCTGGCCGTACAAATTCTTCGATCGATTCTTCCCTGTCCTCGGAACGAACTTTGGACTGGGTGCTATTGGGTTATTCCAGTGCTTCATTGGCGCCGCAGTGCTCTCCCATCATGTAGACGACTTCGCACTCGTCTCGGCATTTTTCTTGTTCGCGATTGGATGCCTTAATATCTTGATCGTAAGTATATCCATCTATTTTTATCTTTCTAAAAACAAACAAACTGGTAACACGCCGTCTAACGCCTCTTTTAATAGGGATTGATCTTCCGCGAGAAAGGCAAAGCCAAACGCTCGATCACAAGCTGGCGGGCCGAGAAGAAGAAAGGTATCCTCCCGATGGTCACAGATAGAATAGGCGAACGCGCCGGCCCGCTTCGACCCATGTTCACAGGCCAACCACCGTCCTTCCTGAGCAATCACCTTACGGGCAACTCGCACCCGGATAACTCTAGTGAGATCACGCTTACTGACGAAAAGCGTGGCTATGGCTGGGGTAGACAAGCAGAGAAGAAACTTGCTGGTGCTAAGGGTATGTATCAATCTGCATTTATTCACCGTGTGGTGATACTGACGTGTTCTGTCTTTTGTTCATGCAGGTATTTTGATTTCAAAACCGGTAGAAGCGCTCCCGCCATATGGCCCCGGTGCACGCCCCGCAGCACCTTCGTTGTCCTCGAGGTACACAACAGAGGACGAGCATGCTCAACCACAGGCGCAGATGCCGCAGCCACAGGCTGAGTCCCCAGATGAAGCGCAACAGCCTCAGTTCCAATCGAGTCACGAGAGACTCTAGGGCTAGATGCCTTTTATCTATTCGCGCTTGCGTTTCTGCCTGATGTTATGACAACAGATGCATCTTGCACTCACGAAAAAAGTCAATCCTATCATGCAGGACAGCATACTGTACAGTACCTAAAGACCAACGATTCCGCACCTTTTTTGCCCCTTCACTAACTACTATACTCCCTTTTGTGCTTATTTGGCATCGCTCCTCTTCTGCCTTCTTGTTTAACATAACTATTTGCAATACGTGCCCACTCTGCCCACTCTCGCATTGCACGAAGTTGGTGAGTGGTGGCATAGTGTTCTAATAATAGTATGTTCTATTAAAATAAAATATTCACGATCCTTATCCTTCCTCACTTTCTTTCCCTCATCACATCATGGACAGATCTGGGATTGTCTTGCACTTTTTTTCTTTTCTGTCTGCATGACGTAGTATCAGAATTCTGTATTGCTACACTCGTACTGTGGTAGCTAACTCGCATAGGCCTAGAGCTTGTTGTATTGTAGACAAGTGGTTGTTGTTTTGAAGAAATAAATGTGTATGCTGCAATATTGATTTAATTCGAGTCTTCGGAAACAGTCGATGAATATCTTTAGTATATATACAACGCAAGAAATCTTTATTTAAATCTGTATTATTTTCTATGAGGATGAACCAACATCAAGGTAATTTAGTTTAAGCGTGTCAAAGTAAATAACAGTAAATAGCTAAACATGTGTATTACATAATTAAAAGACATTCTCACGAGTACAAAGTTTGCCGACCAGGCTCTCAGCTCTGCAAGACGGTGTCTATATGCCGAACCTTTCGCTCCTGAGTATAAACTCTGCCCTGGTTACATGAAAATCAAATTTGGGGTGCATTATGTGCGACATCCGCCCGTGCACGATCAAACACCGAGACGGTGAAGACACCGAATAGCCCCACTCAGACAGCCATGCGTATCTATTTTTTCCCTGCCAAGGCACAGGCAATACTAACTGTACCCATAAGAGTACTTGTGGCGGCAAGCTACTGGACAAGGATCAGTCGGCCTGTGCTGAATTGTTGCGATGTGTCCATGCACATTGACAGATGTCTGATAAATAACTTTGGAAAATTCACAATTCTGGCAATTTTTCCGACATCCATTGTGCCCACGAGGCACTGCTGGTCTGACTATAGATGCTACTATAACACCTGAGTCCATACAAGGAGCATCCCTACCGTTCTCCTACTGTACCAAACCTTATACAGTATTCAAATGGGCCCCGACGTGGTTATAGACCGTTCAACCACAGCTTACAAGGCAATTACAGGTTGGGCAGGATACTCACTCTCGCGTGCAATGTTACTAAATTAGCCCCATTTTCCTGCGATTAGTATCGTGCACTACCTTTCATTGGTATTATATTAGTGAGTAGAGTCGTTATTCTTTTTCAGCTCCTTCTGACACGGGTGTGTAGTTTCACACTTAGATAAAGAGGTTCGTTTTTGCCAGATGTTTTTGATCAATAATGCACCTAATAACGCTAGAAATTAGGTTGAATATATATGGGTATGTAGCCCGATGATCAAGCATCGACCTTGACTTGACTTTTGACAGAATAAACAATGGACGGCTGGGAAAGTCATGTATTTGCTCGTGGGTTCACCTTTAAATTAATCAGGAAGTGACCTCAAACTGCAGAACAGGCTCGATACTCCGGTGCTGTTTATTTGATGTCAGTCTTGAAGCCCGAGATCATAGCACGCGCTGAGTATGACACATTCCAGCTTGGCCTGCATAGGCACTATGGGCCTTGGTTGGGATAAAAACCTAATCATCGCGTCGCAGGTGAGCCCCTATTTTCTCTTTTTTTCTCAATCAATCTCACACTCCACTAGGAGAAAGATGTCATAGGCTTATTTGTAACTTCTTGTCAGTGGAGCCAACTTTCCAAAACGTTTTAGCAAATTCAAAATCAGTGGAATTGCCCTAGGTTTATACGGTCAAATATATGTCGGAACAGGACCGTTGGTTATAACGTTGGCAGAAGGTAATCTCTTTTCCAGAATATCCTTATGTGACGTTTTCAGAAATAGGCCACATTTTTATCACAGTTATACTCATGATGCGAGTGTATGCATTGTACGGGGGACCGAGGAAAATGCTGGTCGCTTTTATCACCTTAACATGTGTTCTTGTCGGGTTTGATATCTGGCAGTTGTTATTTTCTCTCGGTCAGAATTTCCATTCACTACCATGCACTGATTTATGTGGACTTATCTCATTAAACCTCTGCTTTAAGGACTCTTCGGAATTGGAATAGCACCTTTCCGATTTGTTTTGGCGAAAGGTGATGTCGGATGCGTATTCGCACCCTCCATGTCTGGCATTGCATGGACAGTAACCTCCTTCATCGAGCTGTTTCTATTCCTTTTGGTGCTCTGGAAGGTTGTTAAAATGAAGAGGGCCGACGTTCCGATGCACATTCTAGGAGGTGGTCAATCAAAGACCCAGGACATCACCGGACTAATGGCAAGAGACTCCGTTGCATATTTTGTAATGTAAGCCTTTCGATTCTTTCTTCGCGCAAGGACCGGAAATTGATTAGCCTTCAAGAATATTCTGTGTCTGTATTTTCGGTGCAATTGCAGAGTTTCTAGCAAACCGTCATCATATTACAGTAAGTTGTTCATGGGCTGTTTAGGGAAGCACCGTCAACTCTTCCCCTAGAACCGCAATATGTTGTCCTTCCTCGGCTACAATCTACATGCGTACCTACTGGTCGCGATAACAATTATGACAATCCTCACATCAAAGATGCTTATCAACCTTCGAGCAGAGTATTATGGTCCAGACACATTGGTTTCCATACAGGATAGCCAACTGACGTGGAACGCCTATAGTACAACAATCTCCGAACAGCAAAGCAACAGTACTCTCATTGAATAACATGTTCATTTGACAATTTCATATAACGGCAACAGCGTCGGATTGCTAGTAGACAGAATATCATACACTAGAAGAATATAATATACAGTATATTCCTTCTAAGATCACTTGATATAGTACTTAATAACTTAGTTGAATTGTTTGGATGTGTAAATATATATATTCGTTATACGATTGCCATCTTACTATCACATTTTGCACAATTGTCGGTTACAATAGACCAAAATAATCTGAGCATGTCTATATATGATAAGTGATTACAAGGCATTCTCACGATTACAGAAATATAGACCAGCAATTACAGGTTGCCAAAAACACTTGCTCTTTACTATACACTCTATATTGGCCACATGAAACTCGACCTTAAACTTAGATGTTTCCTATGTAAGTCCGATCATACAACATCAAAACACTGAGATGGTGAAGTAATAGACCAGCTCTATTAATAAGTACTAGTGTTTGTATTTATCTGATTCTGCCGAGTGGCACGGAATGCTAATAGTATCCACTAGAAGTACTCCGGCTGGGAGTACCACTACCATAAATCATTATAGCCCGTATGGAATCACCACGAACGGCCATGAGCATTAATGCCTACCCCTAGATAGCTAAAGTGAATCCACGCGTCTGACAAATTTTCTGATATTGATCATGTCTATGTATGATCACAGCCGGTCTAACTATAGATGCCGCTATAAGTATAACAGTCGGCTCAATACGTAGAACTTTCCCTGGATAGTCTCCCATTCAGATGAATCCCGACGAGGTTATAGACAATTCAACAACAGCTTACAAGGCAATTACAGGTTAGGCAATATATCTTTCCCTTTGCACCAGTGTTGCTAAATGGTCTCAATTTCCACGGTCAGTCTCATGCACTACCCTTCACTTGTATTATGTTGGTAGGTAGTGTCAGTACTTTTTTTCCCCCATTCCATTTAATGCCTGCATGAAGTTTCGCACTTAGGTGAAGAGGTTCGTTCTATCAGATACCCTTGTCCGTTTCCTCTGACGATTTAATGAAATAGGTCGAATACATATGGGTATGTAGCTCGACAGTCACACATCGATCTTGACTTTGACTCGTGATAGAGTAAACGATGGACGACTGGGAAAGTTATGTACTTGCTCGTAGGTTCACTTATTGATACCATCAAGAAGTGACCTCAAACTGCAGAACAGGCTCGATACTCCGGTGCTGTCTATTTAACGTTAGTTTGGAAGCCCAGTGTCATAGCATGCGCTGAGTGTGACACACTCTAGCTTGGCCTGCATAGGCACTATGGGCCTTGGTTGGGATAAAAACCCAATTATTGCATTGCAGGTAAGCCCTCATTTTCCCTTTTCTCTCAATCAATCTCACACTCCACTAGGAGAAAGATGTCATAGGTTTATTTTTCACTTCCTGTCAGTGGATCCATTTTCAGAACAGCAATTTAACAAACTCAAAATCATTGGACCTGCCTTAGGTATATACGGTCAAATATATGTTGGAACAGGACCATTGGTGATAACTTTGGCTGAAGGTAAGTTAGGTAACCTCTCATTCAGACTATTTTGCAACATTCCAAGACACAGACTACATTTTTCTCACAGTTATACTTATGATGAGAGTGTATGCATTGTACAGGGGACCGAGAAAAATGCTGGCTGCTTTTATCATGCTAACATGTGTACTTGTTGGGTTTGATATATGGCAGTTGTTATTTTCTCTCGGTAAGATTTTCTATTCACTAACGTGCACTGACCTATGTGGACTTATCTCATTAAACCTCTGCTTTAAGGACTCTTCGAAATTGGAATAGTGCCTTTCCGATTTGTCTTGGCAAAAGATGCCATCGGATGCGTATTTGCGCCTTCTATGCCTGACATTGCTTGGACAGTGACCTCCACTGTCGAGTTGTCTCTATTCGTTTTGGTGCTCTGGAAGGTTGTTAAAATGAAGAAGGCCAACGTTCTGATATACATTTTAAGAAATGTTCAGCCAAATACACCGGACATTACTGGACTAATGGCAAGAGATTCCATTTTATACTTTGCCATGTAAGTATTTCAAGTCTTCCTTTGCACATTAATTAGAAACCCACAATCTCTCAAGAATACTCTTTGTCTGTATCTTCGGGGCTATTGCAGAATTTCTAACAGTCCGTCACCATATTACAGTGAGTCAAGCCTAGCTAATCGTTTATTAGATGACTTATCACTGCAATATTTCTACCAGGACAAAAGTTTACTATTCTTCCTCGGCTACAACCTGCATGCATACTTACTGATCGTTATTACAATTATGACCATCCTGACGTCAAAGATGCTTATCAACCTTCGAGCAGAGTATTATTGCCCAAATGGATTGGTTGTGACTGAGTTGAGTCAGCTGGCTTGGAATGTCCGGAGCACAGCAATTTCTGGGCAGCAAGGTGGCAACACTCTCACTGATTAACCTTTCGTTGACAGTTTTCCCCACTGGTAGACTGCATTTTTGTGCATGAGTGGAGTAGAATATCATATGCAAGATACACATTCGAAAATTGGTTATGTAATACAGTATTCACAGCAATGCTCACTGTTTGAAATGTCTCAAGTTCTTGTTCAAGATTATTCCACTTCAGCAACACTATAATAATATTAATATTGTTTTTCAAGCTGTTCCCCATGATCTGTAGTCGGGTTTTCACAATTCTTCTCTATAATAATTACTGTTGAATTTATTAGCATTCATGATTACTAATGTTTCCCACAGTTATAGTACTCCGAGACCCATACATGTGCCTGAAATGAGCGCAGTGCTGGGCACTGAATACTCCCTTGGCACGCTCTCTCAGCTATTTACACCCCATCGCTCCCACACAGACTGCGCGTTCCCACTCGTTTCTCCTATAAACCCGCATCTCTCTCACAAGGCCGCCATGGTCATCATTCTCGACGAAAAGCAGATGCCTCCTGCACCTCCTGCACCTCCTGCACCGCCCCCGTACGCCGCCGCTGACCGTCCGCCGGCGCCTCCCTTCTCCGAAAATGGACAGCAACTTCCAGCATTAAATCGCCCTCCTGCGACGTTTGAGGCATTGCCGCCACATCTAGTGTTGTACATTACGCAATTGACTTTGAAACCGCGGAAGGGAAGAGCGGAAGTAGAGTATACGCGGAAGGTGTTGTATTGGATGACAGTTTGTCTAAGGATGGTTAATCGATCGTTCTATATTGGTACGCAGCGACCTTCTATGCACCGACGTTGTTAAGTGCTAATGAGATGATGAATGCGTAGCTTGCATGCATGTGTTACGATCGACTTATCTTCCAGCATACCTATCTATGATCAAGCCACCGTACACTTCGGATCCGTTCCCGTTATCTACTCCTGAAGCCGGTCCTTCTAGCGTGGCAACTTCGTCAAGTTCAACAATGATGTCACCTGTCAACTCTGTACAACGGGAAACCCAGGTATTGGATCTGTTTCTGACTGCAAAAGTTAGGGAAGACGTATGGGCGGATGAGTCAGAACTCCATCTGGAGGTACGTATGATACCAATATCACTTGGCTGATACATAACGTCTCTTCTCACCGTGATTCCCGGCACCTGTGCATCTGCGCCGCAGCGAGAAGAAGCCTTCCTAGATCTTTTCTCGGTCCTACAACCGCGGGCGCGACTAGAAGACCTCGTGCGTACATACGGGTCCGCAGCAGGTGTCATCTCTGTCAGTTCAAGCACAGGAAACACCATCATCGCCTCCGGTCCATGTCCTACCTCCTCACCTATTTCACCTACATTCCCATCCGTATCCGTTCCATCCGCCGCTCGTCCTACTCAGCAATCTCATCCTCATACGCCCACTTCTTCTTCAGCTCCTAATACAACTCCTACACCGTATCCATACCCATTTCCTCGTGCGCGCGGTCAGATGCTTGTCACCCGGCGTGTACCATTCTCATCCTTAACCTGTTCATTCGGACCGCGGAGTGTAGGACTGGTGTTAACAACGAAGAGTGGGAGACGGACGATCGTCGAAGTCCCACGTGCAAGGGAGGAAAAATTAGAAGTCGCTGCGAAGAGACTTGTGAAAGGGTTAGAAGGATGGGTCCAGGAGAATTATACCACCAGTAGCGGAGGGTGACTTGGACAATATGAAATTTTGTTGATTATATTTATTTATCGTTGAAAGTATGTTGCAAATTGGATACTCAATTTATGCAGCAGTCTGCATATATGCACTTTACTTTTCTCTTTAATTTTGCATCAGGCACAAATCTCATTTATAAAGTAGTAGTACATGTGTAGTCATGTCCTTACATTGAGCTTCGCTCTGCACTGATATTAAATTCGGAGTTAAAAAATGCACTGTACTTCCCATTATCAAATCACTACAAGTCCTATTAAATTTTAACAAAGTTAAGCAGCATTATGTGCACATTCCACGTTTTTTCATCCATGACCAGCAAATCAGCAGCAATATTGACATTCCATAAGATATAGTAAAGATAAACAATGGTTCAATGTCCAGAGGCATATCATGTAATTCCAGTTCTAATACTAGTCTATAAACACAGTAATCAAAGTACTATACACGTATGTACTTCTCCTCTCCTGAGAGCTGCAGGCATGCAAGATTGTCATTGGAGTATTCATTCCACGACTCTATCAACAGTCTCTGCATTATCAGCACTCTGCACTTCATCTGCAATCTGTACACCAGACAGCTCAGCAAACTGGATGTCCCAAGAAAGCTCAGTTGCAATTATCCAAACCAGACCATAATACTCTGCCTGAAGGTTGATGAGCATCTTCGGAGCAAGGATTGTCATAATTGTTATCACGATTGTTTGGTATGCATTTGACTCCAATGCTGTGTCTTCAAAGAAGACCACAATGCTGTAACTTAAATGGACACCACTCTAGGAAAAGAGGGCTGAGAATCATACAATGACCAGGTATAGAGTTGACTCACGTTATCCAATCCTTCAGAAGTAAAATATATAATGGTAGGAAGAAGACAACACAATATTATCCTAGTTGATGGTCAGTTGAAATCCAACACAAGAAATACAGATGATAAAATACATACACAGCAAAATATACAATAGAGTCTCTTGCCATTAATGTCATAACATCCTGTGCCTTTAGTGGACCATGTCCTGAGATACGCATTGGTAGCTTGGTCTTCCTCATTTGTAAACTCTTCCACTGGCAGAGAACCGGAAGGAAGAGAAGCAGTTCGACAAAAGAAGTCACTACCCATCCAATGCTAGAAACAGGCATTGCATCAAAGCAACCCAAGGGATCACCTCGAGTGCCAAAGGACTCCGAAAGGCTATAACCCATGTCCAAAGTAGCTTGAGTGATAGACTCGAAGGTACTGCTCATCAGAACCTAGTGTACAACAATAAAAAAAATCTCCTACTGAGATCAAACGTGAGTTGTAGAATATTGAACCTGATCAGAAGTACTGTGAGCATAATAAATCCGATCAACAGTTTCCTCGTTGCTCCGAACAATGCATAGACACGCATCATGAGTATGACTAGCCAAATGAAATCATCAGCATGCAACATAGCATAGACTAGCCTGAGTGAGAGGATCACCTTCAGCCAGCAATATTATCATGGTTCCCAATCCAGTATACAAATGGCCAGATAAACCTAGAATTTACATAGTAGAGTGGTTCCTTAAGCTTTGTTGATACCTACTCAATCAATGGCATTCCTCACACGAATAAAAGAGGTATCCTGTATTGCTGTCCAACTGGAAGAACATGAGAGAAATGACAAGGAAGTAGAAAGTGTAGTTTACCTTGGAGCCCACAGTCAGGATGTACTGAATCCAAATAGGAAAAGTATTCCATCCGATGTTGACTGTGCCTAAGGATGCTAAACTATGGCATACGGTAGTAAACACAGATTATGCATTTGGATTCTGAGACTTACATCAAAAAGACCGAGCCAAGGTATCTTGTCTGTTCTTCAATTTGAGGCAAATTTCCCAAATAAGATAGTAGTGAAAACGTACAAGCAAATACACCACTTTCCCAGCTGTCCAGCGTTTGCACTGCAAGCAGTCAGTTCTGGTAAAACCATTTAATCCTCAGATAGCTCACCCATATATATTCAACCTAATTCCCGATGTCTTAGCTGGAGCAGGTAGATGTAGATAATGAAACAGACCTCTTTGTCTAAGTGTAAGACTATGGACATGAGCTAGAAGCAAGTACACAGAGCTACTAACACAGCTTACTAGAGTAATACAAATGGAAAGTAGTGCATGAGACTGTGTACAATCGAATCAAGCCATTTAAGCAATACTCAATGTATAATGAAATATACTCAGCTAACCTGTAATTGACTTGAAGATGGTTGCCGGAAGTGCAGCAGTGGCTTCAAATGAGGAGTAAGACATGAGTAGAGAGAAAGATTTTGTTATGATGGCTGTGAAATTATATGCTTGGTGGCATTTATAGTCAGGCTGGAGTGCAAGTTCTGTGCAACCATCTTGATTATCATGTGGAACCCCTGTCCTGCTCTGTATAAGGGAGATTGTAAAGATGCAATGTTCTCAGGCTAAAAAAAACAAAAGATGCTTACTGTATTTACACTCTTAGAATATAATCAGTGGCAGATGGATTACATTGACCAGTCAATCAGGATTCAGCATACTACAAGAAGACCAATACAACATATCAACACACATGCTTCAGCTTGATGTTGTCTTGACATTGTGCTGAATCACATGCAGCTAGTGACAACAACAGATAGAGATGAACTAGTTGCTGAGATGTTGATTCAAGGTGATACTTGGGTACTGTGTAGCTTGTACGTATGTGTTACAATCGAGTTGCTACGGCCACCTAGTATACTTGCCTACAATCTTGTTGCTGCACGTTTAGGATCCGTTTCCGTTACCCATTTTCAGTGCAGGTCCTTTTGTTATTGCAAAAACTTCAAGCTCGATTATGATATCACTTATAAATTCTGTACAACACGAGACACAAGTACCGGATCTCGCCTGCCCGTGAAAGTAAGGAAAGCATCAACTCAGAAGTAAGAAGAGGTCTTCCCTAAACTTGTCCACAGTGTTACAACATCACGTGTAACTAGGAGATGTTGTGCGTGCCCGTTGGACCGCAACAGGCATCATCTCTAGCACTTCAAGCAAAGGAAACACTGCCTTCACCTCTGGTCAATGTGCTTCCCTTCGTCTTCTTTTCCTTCATTCCCATCTATATCCCTTCTCTGTATTGCCAACTCCATATCTCAATCAAACTCTCATTGTGTTTCTTCTTCAACCTCTTTCCTGTGCTCGCAGTGCGCTCCGTATCCCTACCCATTTCCTACACACATATGCAGGTGTTCGTCACTCGACAGGTACCCTTCACATTCCTGATCTTTCATTCAGACCACAGAGTGTGGGATCGGTATTAACAACGAAGAGTGAAAGACGGACGATCGTCGAAAATCGACATGCAACGAAGGAAAAGTAAACCATCGTTGCGAGACAGCCGTGAAATGGGCAGAAGGATACGTTCTGGAGAAGGGCTGATGTAGAGTATGCGCAGAAAATGTTATACTGGATGGCAGTCTTTCTAAGGACAGTTCATCGAACGTCATACATTGGTGCGCAGCGACCTTCCTCGCATCGATGTTATTCAGGTGCTAATGAGATGACGATCATATAGCTTGTATGCATGTATTACGCTCGACTTATCTTCCCGCATACTTATACATGGTCAAGCCACCATACAGGTCGGATCCATTCCCCCTTATCTACTCCAGGAGCTGATCCGTCTAGCGTTGCGACTTCGTCAAGCTCTGATGTCACTGGTCAATCCCGTACAGCGGGAGGTCCAAGTGCTAGATCTGTTTCTAACTGCGAAAGTTAGGGAAGATGTATGGGTGAATGAGTCAGATTTATATCTGGAGGTACGTATGATACGGTTAGCATGACAATTGGATGATGCCTAACATCACTTCTAACCGTGATTTCCGACACCCACGCATCTACACCGCAACGAGAAGAAGCTTTCCTATATCTCTTCTCAGTTCCCCAACCACGGGCACAGCTAGAAGACCTCGTGCGTGCATACGGGTCCGCAGCAGGTGTCATCTCCGTCAGTTCGAGCACAGGAAATACCATCATCGCCTCCGGCTCATGTCCTTCCTCCTCACCCATCTCACCCACACCCCTATCCATATCCGTTCCCTCCGCCGCTCGTCCCACTCCGCAATCCCATCCTCATATGCCCACTTCTTCAACTTTTACTACAACTCCCACACCGTACCCCTACCCATTTCCTCGTGCACGCGTTCAGGTGCTCGTCGCTCGACGCGTACCATTCTCATCTATAACCCGTTCATTCAGACCATGCAGTGTAGGATTGATGTTAACGATGATCAGCGGGGGACGGACCTATCGAAGTCTGGTGTGCAAGGGCGGAGAGATTAGAAAATGCTACTAGCAGCGGAGGATGACTTGGTCAAAATAGAGACTTAGTTACATCCAATTACCTCTGAACTGCAAATGATTTTGTAATACTTTATAAGGCAGATTTGTATATATACACTTTAATATTTATGTTCATCCTTCAATTCTTAAAAATATGATAATCCACTTCCATGGCATTGAAGAGACAGTACAATACTTCTCATGCACATTTAGTATCACAGATTTGATTTATAGCAAGCTTTAACAACACTCTGAAATTCTCATCCATCAATCTGTGACCAAATTATTCCACAAATACAATAAAAGACAGGTCCCTCTTCTACAGATGCACCACATTATAAAGGACTAGCATGATCCATATAAGAAACCACACTTCTCCTAGCTATTGTAAACATACAACATTAGCAGTTGGACCTCACTCTATAACATTATTGGCAGCTTGCAGGCTGGAAAGTTTGGGCATCCCAGGAAAGCTCAGTTGCAATTATCCCTACTGGGCCATAATACTCTGCACGAAGGTTTATGAGCATTTTCGGAGCTAGTGTTGTCATGACTGTTATCACGATTGTATGGTACGCGTTCGGACCGAAGAAGTGGAAAGCGAAGCTTAGTGCATGCTGCGTGAAAGAGATTGAAAGAAATGTTATGAAGAACATTCTGTCCACTCACGGCACCCACAGCACGCTCAGCGATAAATACAAGAATAGCACCGAGAAGACAGACAGAGAATATTCTAGGTGGTAACTAATTCATTAATAAGAGGATAAAATGGACAATGGAACACCTACGTGATGAAGTACACTATGGAGTCTCTTGCCATTAACGCGATGATGCCCCGTGTGTTTGACAGGTTGGCTCTTGAGAAGTGCATCGGGATCTTGGTCCTTCTCAGTTGGACGGCCTTCCAAAGAACCATAAAGAACAGAAACAGTTCGATGAAAGAAGTCACAGTCCATGCAACACCGGACATAAAATTTGTTCCTATGCATCCGGCACCTTTTGGTGGAAAAGGGGAACGAGCTCTTTCATCAACGTCCCATAAATCTTGAGTAACAGATTTAATGAGAGGTTTTTCAAGATCTTGTGCATGCTAAAAAATGAAATTCCCTACCAAGGTTCAATGTGGCTTGTAGAATGTTGAATACAAAGAGGAATAACGTCAATGTAACGAAAGTAATTAGCAGCTTTCTTGTTGCCCCGAATAATGCATATACACGCATCATTAGGATGACTACATAGAGGAAATCATTGCTGATTTAATTAATGACAGAATCTACTGAGCAAGCAGCTCACCTTCAGCCAGCAACATTACCATTGGTGCCAATCCAGTATACAGACGACCGTATAAACCTTGAGTAGAACATTCAGTTCATCAGAAAGTTACTGAACATCAGTTTCTTTCTCTCACATGAACGAAATAGGAATCCTATAACACCATTTCTCTGGCAGAGTATGAGAGCTGTAGCAGAGGGAGGAATAGAAGTTTACCTTGGTACGAATAAGAAGAGTGCTATCCCATCCAAGCACAACTGTGCCTAATGAAGCCAAACTACAGTATGTTGTTGTTAACATGATCTTGTACTTGACTTGGAGGCTCACATCAAGAAAACAGAGCCAAGGTATCTGGTCTAGTTCCTAGTTTGAGGTAGACTTACTGTTGCAAATATAGATGAAGCTTACAAGCACATAGATGATTTTCCCAGCTGTCCAACGTTCCGACTAGAAAGGGTTAGATTCCTAAAAGCTTATTGAGTCAAAATTCACTTGCCCATATATATTGTACCTAGTATAGTATTATGCAACTTGTAAAAGATAAAGCAGATAAGGTCAGATAGTAAAACAAACCTCTTCATCTAAGTGTGAAACTACAGACATGACTCAGAGCTGGATCAAATTGTGAAAGAATAGTAACACTACTCACTGATATAATACAAGTGAAATGTAGTGCATGATACTGTCCATAACAGATTGGATCATTTCAGTAACACTGACCACAAAGGAACAAATACATCAGCTAACCTGTAGTTGACTTGAAGGCTGTTACAGAATGAAAAAGATATGGACTCATTTGTGCAGGACACTAGTACAGAATGTCCTTGTGATGAGTCGAGTGCAAAGTTATATACTCTCGACATTTGTTGCTGAACTGAATTTGATATATTAATACTATGGGTACTAAAGTAACTATCAGATCTGTGGATTGGACGTTGGTGACCCAAAGTACTGAGTAAGATACATTTTGATAAATAAGTGATCCAATTCTGACTTGAATGGTTTGTCGTACAGTATCTCTGTACATCATAGTTACGGCCACCTCTTTTATCACACAAATCCTCCAGAAAATAAACAAGGTATCCAACTATGAATCTGCCCAACTTTGCCCTTACTTTGGGTTGTTAACCTGCATGATATAGTGCAGGCTGTACATACCTGTGTGCATTGTTGCTATCAACATACATCAATCATCAGTTGCTTAATTTCAATCTATCAATCTATGTAGAGAAGATGCCTTGACATGAAAACTTCAGAACTCTAGTATAGTACTACAGAAGGATGGAAGCGAAGAAGACATGCTGTCTTAGTTTTTGAATTTTTGTACAAGCACTTGCCAGAATGAAGATTAGTTGATAAGAATTATCACGTAATATTCTCTTGCACGCTTGCTGCCACCCAGAAATGCGACGTCAAAATCGTCAAACGACACAATGACTAGGCGGACGGCTGCGCGGAACTCGTCTTTTATAGAAGGGTGCTTGTGAGCTAATCATAGCGCAGTGCGGAAGACTGATTCCGCGGTCATCCGTTTTGTCAGCGGTCGCTACGTGAGACCGACTTGAGCTGCGCAGCGTGTGGGATCAATTGCGGCGCAGTGGTCACCGTAGTCCTTGCCACAAGTACAATTTACATCGAACGACGGTAACATCCCCGTCTGGTAGCTCTCGCTTTCTATCCAGCGCGCTGATTGCGACTGTTAGCAGAGGACTTCGTCAGGCTTGCCCCTGTGACTGGCACAGAGCGTTCATCGAGCACAGCGTCGTAACACCGGGAAACGACGGCCTGACAATCCCAAATCCACCTTTTCATCAACAGTACCAACGATGGTTGTTCTTACTGAGAAGGATATTGTCCCTCCACCACCTTACTTTGCTATCGAGAACGACGACACTCACCCTTCATCGAAGCTCTACTCTACTTCTGCTCGAGCAATCTCCCGATCCACTTCTTCGGTGGCCCTTGCCTCGTCCTCGTCTCAATCGCACCTTGGCAGAAGACCGCGGAAAACAGCTCCGTCGCTGCCATCTCACGTCCTGCTTCTTATCGTCTATTCTACGCTTCCTCGACTGGGAGAGTACAGATATAAATTCGTCGTTGAAAATGGCATAAGGACGAAAGTGCAAGAGAGGGAGAGGGAAAGTAACGAGGAATTTGCTGTCAGAACGACAAGAACACTTTACTGGATGGCATTTTGCTTGAGAAGTGTCAGTAGGGGATTCTATCTTGGTACGTATCCCACGTACACTCTCTCCCTGCTTCTTTAATACTGATAAATAAATCTGATTTGGTCATATTTGATAGCTGCAATGCATATACTAAGGTCGACGTTCCTACCGCATTACATGCAACGCGTCCGTCCGCCTTATTCGTCTGATCCGTTCCCGCATACATCACTGTCTTCACATCGTCCTGGCGATCCCTCAAGTGCAAGGTCGGGTGCACATGGAACACAAACATCTATATCAGTTGTCAGCTCCATGCAATGCGAGTCTGAGGTTAGCTTTTGTCTTCCTTTGTTTCCATCATCGTCCCTTCTTTTGTTGCAATTTTTTGATTTTATTTATTGATTTTGATTCATTCCAGGTACTCGACAGGTACATTCTCCACCAACTGCACGAAGACGTCTTCGCAGACGACTCGAGCCTAAATCTCGCTCATCCTGAGAGACTTCGCGATCTATTTGACTTCATGCAGCCCCGAGCAAGATTGATGGACCTTGTACGCATGTACGGGGTTGGTGCAGGATTGATCAGTTTATCGGATTCGGACGCCGACGCTGAGATCGAGTCTGCCATCGGAACGGCAAGTTTCATGGCAGATACCCGCGAGAACGAATGTCGAAAGGGCAGCTCACTGACAGGGATGAACCTCAAGGCAAAGATGGCTCGATCAACGTCCACACTCACGCTCGTCAATTCTCCGCCTTCTCCAAGCCCGTCCTCTACTTCATACGCGAAGAGTTACACTTACTCTCCTCCTTCCTTACGTATACCAAGTTCCTCGATCCGTCAACAACAAAGAAGGAAGAAGATCCCATATCCCGCTCTACGCATCTTCTTCTCTCCTAGACAAGTTGGACTTATCTATACTGCCCCTCCTTCGAATATTGGGACTTCCACGCGGGCAAGTACGAGTGCGCCAAGAACGATCGTTAACCTTGCTCGTACACGCGAAGAATCGTTAGAGAGGTCTGCGAGTCGATTGGTGATGGGGTTGAAGGCTTGGATGGAGGGTCATGCGTGACCAGATGCGACTTTTTTCTTATGGAGTTTTCAAGTTTAATTGTTAAATTTGCATGTTGTGCTTTGTTATTGTTTTATTTTGCTGTATACATGTGTAGGAAAGTATCGTTTTTGTTTTAGAGGATGAATAAACGTGGACACTTTTGAATCTTCTCTCTTTCATTGTTCGTCACCAGTTAGATGGCGTATAGTAAACAGACACTAAGCACGTGCAAATACCATGACTCCACAAATATTCATATTCAAATTTAATCTTGACTTCCATAGCCTTTGATCACAACATCTTTTCTTTTCAATATCTATCAACATTTACACTCCAAATGCACCAAATCCATGCATTTAACGGATCGTCTCCAACAGCGCCCTGTATTTCTCTCAATGTCTCTATCAATATTACACTCCAATGCAATGCACCAAAAGCATGCGTTGGGTGGATCGCTATTAACGACGTCCATTGGTAAGGGCAAGAAGAATTGCAAATTTCATTAACTCTTATAACTCCACGACTGATTTATGATGAAGAATATCTCTCTATCGATGTTTACCTTGAAGTACGATGGCTGATACTACAGAATGGAATGAGATACTTTTACACCAGGCGCACTTGATGACCACACTCAAGTCAACCATGGGTTAGCTTTTGTTCCTTTGTTCATAATGTCATTATTTATGAATTGATTCAACACGTTCGTGAATTGTCTTTCGCACAGCTTTCCATGTATATTACACTAGTAAGCTGTATCTACCTCTGTCAATAACCTCATCCAGCTCATGTTTTCAGTCTCAAATCTAGATGATGAGGTTTGTTTGGATTGCTGTGTATATGTGTCTGCCTAACCTAACACAACAGTCAACTAGGTTGAATACATTTGGGTGTACAGTCTTATCATCAGGCAGTTGTTGTGGGATTGACAGTCTGTAGAGCAAGTGATGGATGGCTAGGAAAGTCATGCATCTGCTTGTATGTTGTCCATCTCCCAAAATAAAAGGAAGTCATCATAAACTGCAGAGCAGACAAGATACCTCGGTCTGGATTTTTCAGCGTGAGTCTAGACTCCGAGAACGCAGTCTCTGCTGACAAAAATGTGCTGAAGATTGGCCGCCATAGGCACAACCCATTTCAGATGGGATGGTGAGGACTCCCTATTCGTCAAGGTAACCTCCCATAACTTTCCGCTATCAATCTTATACACTGTCAGGTTAATAGCATACTCGAATTTGTTGGGAATGCATGTGAGTGAAGACCATGAATTATTCGGCCTCAATGAAAGTCAGAATACCATTCTAGGTGTATCCAATCATCTGTATACAGGATTGGGAACAGTAATTATATTACTGGCCGAAGGTGATCTTTACACCCGGAGTATTCTATTCTGTATTGTTTGTTACTGATTTCATTTGCAGTCATACTGATGATGTGTGTTTACGCGTTATTTGGAGCGAGCAGAAGGATGTTAATTTCATTCATTGCATTGACATTACTTCTGCTTGGGTTCAATATTTTGCAACGCGCAATCAAGCTCGGTATGCATCTTCATTCGTTATCCTGCCCCAGGCTCTGAGTTATAATCCGTTACGTCGTAGAATCCTGGGACTTTAGCACAAATCCTGTTGAAACCCAGACAGCAACAGGTATTGACTGTCTTTTCGAGCCTCATACGTCTGGTATCGCATGGACGGTGACTTCTTTCGTTGAACTACTCTTGTTCCTTCTGGTTCTCGGGAAGACTGCGCGAATGAGGAATGATAAATCCCCAATATGCATATCAAGAGGTGGTTCACCAAATACACGAGATATTACCTCATTAATGGCGAGAGATTCTATTGGATACTTCGCCATGAATGCGTTATATTTGTCAATTTTTATCATGCTCATTATTGACGACCGATGGATCAGAATATTCTTTGTTTGTCTCATCGGGGCGATTTTGGTATTTGCTGCGGAAGAAAAGGCCTCCGTGAGTGACCCTACTGCTACTCATTATCCGTTAACCAAAGCTTTTACCAGAATCCACGTTCCTTTATTTTCGCCTACTTTTGTTCAAACGCGTACCAAGCAAGCGCAATAACGATCATGTCAATCCTCGCACCAAAGATGTTCATCAGTTTACGTGCAGAGTGCTATGGTTCAGTCGGGATAATTGCGACAGAGCTTTCTTGGAATGCTCAGGCCATGGATTACCCTAATTTACAGTCCACTGCCGATGCTACAGGATAAAATGTCTCGTTAAAGATTCGACGCAGAAGGTAAATTGAGGAAATAGGTTGACTCGATGTTCCGATACAGAGAATTTTATATTAGGAGAACTTGATGGCTGTCTGCAAGTCGATATATCTGCCCGAATACTGTGGAGAGAATTAAAGCCTGTTGTCGTTCTCCGAACCCGTCGAAGTCTGTATATCCACAATCCCCCTTGCTGTGATTACCCAGTAATACACATACTCCGATTTTCCCGACACTTAGGCACTGGTCCTCGTTTGATCCGTCCGAGTATTTCGGATTCTGTTTCCTGCACTAGTTCTTCAATTCAGCTACGCATATACTCTGGTTTACAAGACACTTTGGCACCAATTCTTTGTTTGAACCGTCCGAATATTCCGGATTCTGTTTCCTGAGTTAGTCCTGACCTCTTGCTTTTGGCCGGCTGATGCCTACTTTCTCGTGTGTATAAATACAGTGAAACTTGGGACTATATCTACAACAACCAAGACAAAGATGCAATTCTCAACTACTTTTCTCTATGCTTGCCTTGCAGTCAGCTCAGTTTCTGCATCACTCGTCACCAGACAATTCCAGAGCCTCCCAGGTAAAGTACAATCTTCTACTAAATGTCCTCTGTCTGTAATTTAAACTCACTTTGAACTCACCGATTTTTCTATTCTACACTGCTACACTGAGTAGCATGTGCTCAGTCTTGTGTAACGAATGCAATCTCTGGTACTGGATGTGCAACGACGGATATTGCATGCCTCTGTGGCAGCAGCTCGTTCATTAGTAGCGTCACGTCGTGTCATCACGAAAAAGTCGCAACAAATGTATTTAATAATAGCAAAAGTAATCTAATAAAATGATTTCATAAGCATTACATTCTAAAATAATACTTATATTTTACTTGTAATGTAATTATAATGATTGTATATAAATGTAAGAAATATACAAAGTTTCTATTAAACTACAAACATGTTT